CTTCATGAAAAAACTCGAGCAGATGCATCCGATGAAGTGAGCTGTAGCCCACAAAAGCTTATGCTCAAATAAATGTGTTAGTCTCTAAGGTGCCACAAGTCCTCCTGTTCTTTTTGTGGATACAGACTAACCCGGCTGCTGCTCTGAGACCTTTCATAAAAAGAGACATTACGATGACTGGGACTGGTCAGCTGAGAAAAGAGACAACTAAGTGGGGCTGGGATAGCGGTCTATAAAATCATGACCAGTGCAGAGACAGCGAACAGGGACGTGTTATTTCTCTCTTTGCATAACACAAGAGCCAGGGGTCACCCGATGAAATTAACAGACAGCAGGTTTAAAGCAAACCAAAGGAAGTACTTCTGCACACAAAGCACAGGTCAGCCTGTGGAATTCGTTGCCGGGGGATGTTGTGAAGGCCAAAAGTATAAGTGGGCTCAAAAAAGAATTTGATACGTTCACGGAGGATAAGTCCATCGATGGCTATTAGCCAAGATGGTCATGGAAGTAACCCCATGTTCTGGGTGTCCCTAGCTTCTGACTGCCAGATGCTGAGCCTGGACGATGGGATGGATCACTTGATAAAGGCCCTGTTCTGTTCATTCCCTCTGAAGCACCTGGCACTTGTCACTGCTGGAAAACAGGATACTGGACTATTATGGCCGGCCCAGGGCCAGAACTTCCAGGCCTCTGCTCGAATTGCTAAACTGTCTTTGTCAAGAGAGAAGTCACCTTTATTTTTATTTATTATCTGTACTGCAATAGCCCCTAGGTGCCCCAGTCCTGGCTCGGGGCCTCTGAGGGGCAGAACAAAGAGGTGGTCCCCTACCCCAAAGCGCTCCCAGTCTGGGCCCATCCTGGTTGTGTGTTATACAATCATCACAATGGCCTGAGGAAAAGCAGATGTTTGCAGAAAGAGGGGTTTGAACAGCCTAATGAAAAATCCAAAGGTTGAATTAGAAACAAGCTGTGACTTTTTAACTATGAGGTGAATTAACCACTGGAATGGATTCCGGCCTCATGTGGGAAACTGCTTTGCGTGGAGTCTTTAAAGGGAGCCTGGCTGGCTTTCCGAAAGCTCTGCTCTAGCCCAGCCACAAGATACGGGCTTGATGCAGGGATGAAAGTAATTTAAGAGACTAAATTGGTTAGTCTCTAAGGTGCCACAAGTACGCCTTTTCTTTTTGCAAATACAGACTAACACGGCTGCTACTCTGAAACCTTAAAGGACTTACTCATATGCAGGAGTCCTGAGCAGGGGGGTGGGGGCCTCAATCGGAAGGGGGCGGGACCTTTAAATCCCCAGGCCCTTTAAATTGAGATTTAGAGGGCGTGGGGCTCTGGCTGCGGTAGTGGTGGCTGGGAGGCCTGGGCCCTTTAAATCACTGCTGGAGATACCAGCTGCAGAGGCGGCCGGGAGCCGGGGGGGGCTCAGACGGCAATTTAAAGGGCCTGGGGCTCTGGCCATTGCTGCTACTAAAGGGTTCTGGCAGCGGGGCTCTGACGGCAATTTAAAGGGCCCAGGGCTCCCTCCTCCAGGCCCTTTAAATCACCGCCCAAGCCCTGGGGCTCCCGGCTGCCTCTGCTACCCGTGGGCTCTGGCAGTGGGGCTCTGGTGGCAATTTAAAGGGCCCGGGGCTCCGGCCACTGCTGGGAGCCCCAGGCCTTTTAAATCGCTGGCCTGGGGAAGCCGGTACAGTCGGTGGTGTACCAGCTCTTGCCGGTACGCCGGACCAGACCGGACCGGCTTACTTTCACCTCTGGCTCAATGCAGGAATCACTGACGGGCTTCCCTGCTCTGTGCAGGTCACATTGGAAGATCACAATGGTCCCATCTGACCTTGAAATCTGCAAATGGAATGTCTTCCCTGGCAGGGAAGCAGCATGTTGCAGAGCTGGCACCTGTGCTTTGTTCTGCTGTTTCTGGGCTCACTGTGAATTTAAAGAGTCAGACAGCCTTGGCATGCGCCCCATCCCCAGGGCCTGCAGATCACTGCGATGTGGATGTGGTGGTGGTGAGGTTAAAAGGGGCTGTGATGCAACATTATTGAGTCACTGGTGATAATCATCCTGAGCTCTTATCAAGCACTTTTCATCCGTCGCTTTCATAGTGCTTTACAAAGCAGGTCAGTGCCATCATGCCCATTTTACAGATGGGGAAACTGAGGCACAGAGCAGGGAAGTAACTTAGTAGCAGCTGGGAATAGAACCCAGGTCTCCTGAGTCTCAGTCCAGTGCTCTAGCCACCAGACAACACTGCCTTCGGGTCCATGTTCTCTTTCTGTATGTGTCCACCCTGCCCTCGGGCTGCTCTTGCACATTGATGTATGTCCCCCCGCGCTCTTGTGCAGGGCCCAAAGAGGTGGCTCTTACATCTTGCCTCGCTGCATACCAGTGATGTCCCTATGTCTGGGAGAGTGACGGTGCATGATTTCGTGGTGTGATGTCACCACTCAGATACCTGTATTTTCATGTAGCATGATGTTACCTTGGCAAGGAGTGAGGTCACCGCAACAAGTTTAAGGGTCCCTCGTCTCGCTGGCGACTCAATCATGAGTCAGGTTCCCCCCAGAATCATGAGTTCTGAAAAGCTCTTTTTCTTTGAGTTTTGAGTCTTTGGGGTGTCACTCACATCTTCAAGTTTATCTCTGCAACCCTGAGGGCTACAGACTTGCTCCAAAAGGCAGTACCAGCCCAACAGTGCTGAGCTTGCAGCTTCCTATACCCTGTGGAACCTGCCAAACCCCAGTGATGGATGATGAAGATTTTAGCTCTTGCCTCCTCAGCAAACCTCTTGGTGGGGAACTGAACCTGGCCCCCCTGCATCTAAAAGCAAGAGCCTCTCATAGCCAAGGCTGTAGCAGGCTCAGTGACCTCTATATGGGGCACTGCCAGCCCTACAAGTGGACACAGTGCCCTGTGGAGTAGTTGTGGCTTCCCCCAATGTTTTTATTCCCCGTGAGTCAGTAGGAAAAGTCTCTTGTTCATTTCATAGGAGCCCAGGCAAAGTCCAAGTCTTGCTTCTCCCAGTTCTTACGGCATGGGCCAGTCCCACCCATATGACATCCGCCACTGCCATCTTCTGCCCCTCCCTTTCTCCAGTCTCTTCCTATGTGTGTGGACCCACCCGGCTGATGTGTCTAACAGACCCCGTGCACTCATGTGACACCATCTCAGTGTTCTGGGTGAGGTCCCTTTCCTGCAAAGGCAGCTCCCTAGGAGGTGATTTAACCCATTTGCATCTGGGCCAGGTTTATGACCAGAATTTGCTATTCAAACCCTTTGGCATGAGAAGTCTGTGCACGCAGAACATACGCCAGCCAAAGACTTTCCTGTGGGCACTGCTGCAAACCCTTGTTTTGCCGTCATGGCCCGGTGGCGGCTTCCTCCCCCAGTCCTGGGATTTGCGCCTCAGTAGAAGATTTCAGTCGCAGCTCACGTCCAAGCCTTCTGCTTCTTCTGAGCCACCTGACTTCAAGTCGCTTGTTACAGCTTGGCTTGTGCTCGGAGGTCTGTTCTGTACGGCACCTGCAGCTCAGCTGGGCATCATTTTATTAGCTATTTATTGCAGTTGTAGCTTCTTTCTTTACCTCCTTTCTGATCAGCTCTTCTCACTCTACCCAGAGAACAGCTGGTTAAAAATCTTCAGCAAGCTGAGACCCACTTCCTGCGGGGAAATGAAAACCATCACCCTCACCCCATGTTAACCCTGCTGTTAGCCTGGTATGGGAGAAACTTCCACCCAGCCCTGCACGCCCCCTTGGGGAAAAGCCATCTCAGGCCATGCGTTTCCCTGCTTTGTAGGCACCTGTTTATAAAGTGATTTGGCGTAGTGCAGGTCCTACGTGTTTGCCCAAATCCTGGGCAATTCTACATCTGGGCTGTTGCCCTTCTGGTACTTGTGTGCCATTCTGGCACCTCTGATGAGCAGTAGCGGGCATCTGGGGGCTTGCTGGCCAGAGTCCCCATGGAAGAGGCGAGGTATATTCGCTGTGTAACTTGTTTTATTTACATACAGCCACACAGTCTAGGGTGGCACGGCAACGGTAGAGAGATTACAGCCCCACAGCTGCCTGCACTGATGCAGCTGCGCCGCTGTAAGATCGCTAACGTAGCTGCTGTAAGCGGATGGGAGAGAGCTCTCCTGCCAGCTTATGTCAGCGGGAGAAGCTCTCCCGCCAACACAGCGCTGTCCACACCGGTGCTTAGACGGGCTGCAGCGGGGACACAGCCTCTGTGTCACAGGTTTCCTTAGAACAGTGTTTTTCAAAGTTTGGGTCGTCTTGCTCAGCACCCAGGGACCCTAGTGGCTCTGGTCAGCACCGCCGACCGGGACGTTAAAAGTCCCGTCGGCGGTGCTGCCCACCTAAGGCAGGCGAGTGCCCACCTGCTCCAACACCGCGCTGCGCCCCAGAAGCGACCGGCAGTGGGTCCGGTTTCTAGGCAGGGGGGGCCACGGGGCTCTGCCCACTGCCCCGTCCCGAGCACCGGCTTCGCACTGGTTCCCGGGCAATGGGAGCTGTGGGCGAGAGCCACACGGAGACGCTTGCACGCCTCTGCCTAGGAGCCAGACCTGCTGCTGGCCGCTTCCAGGGCGCAGCACGGTCCGCGGTGCCAGGACAGGCACGAAGCCTGCCTCTGCACCTCGAGCTGCTGGAGGTAAATACACGCCCCAATCCCGCACCCCCCCGAAACCCAGAACCCCAACCTGCACCCCAAACCCCTCATCCCCATCCCACCCCACAACCTGCACCCCCATCCCAGAGCCCTGACCCCCTCCTGAATGCCAACCCCCTGCCCCACTCCAGAGCCCCCTTTTACACTCTGAACCCCTCATTCCCGGCCCCACCCCGCAGCTCTCACCCCCACACTCCAACCCTCTGCCACAGCCCTGAGCCCCTCCCATACCCCAGACTCCTCATCTCCAGCTCCATTGGGTCATGGGCAAAAACAATTTTCTTCAACTGGCTCCCCAGAAAAAGAGTTTGAAAACCACTGCCTTAGAAGAAGAATTTGTGTATTTGATCACGCACACGCAAAAGTCCTGGGATAGAGATGGTCAAACAGCATGCAGAGACATCACTTCTGCCTGGTCTCTCAGGCCAACACCAATGCCAGGGTCCCAGGGAGCAACTCTGACTCCAGAATACTCTCCTGTGCTGTTCACACAGCTGCCTCTACAGTGAATCTTGCATAAATTATGTCTTCCCCCAGGAATCAAAACTTGCTCGAATACTAAGAAAAATCGTTTGGAAGACGCTGTCACGAGCAGGACATGGGTCGTCTGGTCAAAGCAGGAATCAGGCCAGCTCGGACACCAGGAAGTCAGAGTCTAGGATAGGCTACAGCACAAACAGAGAATTGAGTGTCAGGAGGCACACAGGGTCAGGTTACCAGGAGATCAGAAGCAGAAAACAAACTTGAGGGCAGAAACACAGATCAGTAACCAGAGTTAGGCCAGGCCAAGATACCAGGAAGTCAAGCCAGGGAAGCAGGAAACACAAGGCACACAGTCAAGAGTAAGGTGGTGGATCAAATCCCCGTTGTGCTGGGTTTAAATAGGGGCTGTGGACCAATCAGGACCCCCTGTGTTCTGCCAATCAGCGGGGACTGGGGTCCTCTGTCTGAGTTCAGCTCCTATTCTGACAACAGTTGGCAGGTCTCTGGGTGACAGAGTGGAACCTGCTAGCTCCAAAGAGCCCTGTAGAGCAGCGTTGAAGACCCATAAGTCCCTCAGACCCATCTAGTGTCACTAGGGTTGCCAACTTTCTAATTGCAGAAAACCGAACACCCTTGCCCCGCCCCTTCCCTGTGGCCCACCCCCTTCTCTGAGGCCTGGCCCCTGCTCACTCCATCCCTGCTCACTCTGCCCCACTCTCACTCACTTGCTCATTTTCGCTGGACTGGGGCAGGGGGTTGGGGTGGAGTGGGGAGGGGAGGAGGGCTCCAGCTGGGGGTGCAGGCTCTGGGGTGGGGCTGGGGATGAGGGGCTTAGGGTGCAGGAGGGGGCTCTGGGCTGGGGGTGAGGGATTCAGAGTGTGGTAGGGGGTTCTGGGATGGGGCAGGGAGTTGGGGTACAGGAGGGGGAGGGGAGGAGGGTTCCAGCTGGGGGTGCGGCCAGGGATGAGGAGTTTGGGGTACAGGAGGGGGCTCAGAGCTGGAGGTGCATGAGGGGGTGCGGGCTCCAGGAGGGAGTTTGGGTGTGGGAGGGGGCTCAGGCCTGGGGCAGGGGGTTGGAGTGGCTGACATGTCTCTCCGGCTCCTAGGTGGAGGTGCAGCCATAGGGGTCTGGGCGCTTCCCCTGCCCGCACACGCTGTCCCCGCAGCTCCCATTGGCCAATGCCCCCATGGTCACACCTCCGCCTAGGAGCTGGAGGGACATGCCGGCCACTTCCAGGAGCCGCACAAAATCGGGTAGGGAGCCTGCCAGCCCCGCCAACCAGATATTAAACGGCCCAGTCAGGGGTGCTGACCAGAGCTGCCAGGGTCCCAGGTGTTCCGGTCAAAACTGGACTCCTGGCAACCCTAAGTGTCACCTGCCGTAACAATCCCACCAAAACCACTGTTAACACCTTTCCTTCTTGGAGAGCCTTTTCTTTTGTGCTAGAACTCATTTCCTCCACCATTGTAACTAGGCTGCTTTGCAGACTCGCGATCTGGTGTTTCCAGTCATGTGATAGTCATAAAATTTAAGGCCAGAAGGGACCACGGCTCATCCAGTCTGACCTCTTGCATAGCAGAGCCCACCAGCCCTACCCAGCCTCCTCCACACAAGAACCCAACAACCAAAATGAGACCAAAGTATCACAGCCCACAGGAGACAAGCGGATTATGTCTGTGCCACAGGCAGAGCGCATGGCAGGGACTGAGGTGCACCAGTGCCGGAGACCTCTGCAATGGCAGGAAAACGATGAAGTGAGATATAATCCTGGCAAGCGACCCGCACCCCACGCTGCAGAGGAAAGTGAAACCTCTTTCCCAGGTCACTGCCAATTTGAGTTGAGGGAAAATTCCTTGCTGACCCCATATCTGGTGATCAGTCTGGGCATGTGGGGCGGGCAAGAACAGCCAGCCAAGCACCAGAGCAAGAAAGCGCTCAGAGCCCTGGCCCTTACCGTACAATGTCCCATCTCCAGCCGTTGCCATCTCCAGATGCTTCAGAGAAAGGACATGACAAAGAAATCCTCCCAGAGTATATCGTAGGGGGCGGGGGGAATCCTTTCCTGCCACTGGCAGGTGTCTGGCTGAAACCCTGACGCAGGAGGATCTTGATTTGCGTTGCTGCTGTTTGGCCTGTCCATACTGGAATTTCAAGGTAGTTCTTTAAGCAGGGAGTCTCTTCATAATCCAACTTCACAAGAATTACCTTTAAATGTGAAGTCTGTGAGAGTTTCCTTTAGTATGTCTTCTCCTTCCTAGGGCCTTACCTAGAAAACAGACCATCGGGAACAGTTTTGCTGGGCACGCAGTTCTCCTCAAATCTTTCCATTCAAACATTGTTGACACATCAACATTTCTATTTGTTTCCCCCGACAATGAAATTTTGTGTCCAAGTTTTGATGAATAATCCCTATTTTCCCTAGGATGCGAATCAAAGGCCATTACAGGGGTTGGGAGTTTTCCACTTACCAACAACACGGGTTTTGGATTAGGCTCCTGGTTGTTTGCTTCTTATACTGTTGCTCCTTCTTCCAAAGTGCATGGACTAGTGTAGCCCCCCAGCCCTGGCTGCTGGCAAGAACAAGGTACTGCATCATTTTTGCTATTGTCCATTTTGTTCCCCTGAATGGCCTTTTTATACATCTGAAATTACTGTTTGCTTGTGGTATTGTAGATGCCCCAAATGAGATCAGGGCCCCATACTGCTGGGTGTAGTACAGACACATCCTAAAAGACAATCCTTGCCCCAAAGGCTTGCAGTCTAAATAGCCAAGGCAGCCAAAAGTTGGGAGGGGAAGTAGAGGCACAAAGACGAAGTGACAGGTTTCAGAGTAGCAGCCGTGTTAGTCTGTATTGGCAAAAAGAACAGGAGGACTTGTGGCACCTTAGAGACTAACCCATTTATTTGAGCATAAGCTTTTGTGAGCTACAGCTCACTTCATCGGATGAAGATGAAGTGGTTTGCACAAGAAACAATAAATTCTGCATCTTGGCAGGGGGTTAGATTAGACTAGATCATGAAGTGAGCTGTGGCTCACGAAAGCTCATGCTCAAATAAATTGGTTAGTCTCTAAGGTGCCACAAGTACTCCTTTTCTTTTTGCAGTCCCTTCTGTGGTTCTATGTCACACAGCAGGTCAGTATCAGCTGCTCCCCCCACCGTTAATGGCCCACTTCACCTTGAATGGTCCCTTGAAATACCTGTTAATTACTTATGCTAAACAGTCTGTTCCACCTTGTATTTAGCTGCCATACCCGAAGGGCTTGTCTATATATATGGCACTGTAGAGCTTAGTGAAGAGGGTAGCTGTGTCCATGGGAGAAGCCCTCCTGTACTGTTTACACCAGGAGTTTGGGTCAGTATAACTACATCGCTCAGGGGTGTGGATTGTGTCTATATCACACAGTTGGGTCAACATAAGGCAGTTTATGTCAACCTAACTATAAAAAGAAAAGGAGTACTTGTGGCACCTTAGAGACTAACCAATTTATTTGAGCATAAGCTTTCATGAGCTACAGCTCACTTCATCAGATGCACCAGCAGGAGAGTGAATTTGTGTGGGGGGGTGGAGGGTGAGAAAACCTGGATTTGTGCTGGAAATGGCCCCCTGTTGATCACTTTAGATAAGCTGTTACCAGCAGGACAGTGGGGTGGGAGGAGGTATTGTTTCATATTCTCTATGTATATATAAAGTCTGCTGCAGTTTCCACGGTATGCATCTGATGAAGTGAGCTGTAGCTCACAAAAGCTCATGCTCAAATAAATTGGTTAGTCTCTAAAGTGCCACAAGTACTCCTTTTCTTTTTGCGAATACAGACTAACACGGCTGTTCCTCTGAAACTGTGGAAAGTGTAGAAGATCTTTTCATACACACAAAGCATGAAAAAATACCTCCCCCCACCCCACTCTCCTGCTGGTAATAGCTTATCTAAAGTGATCACTCTCCTTACAATGTGTATGATAATCAAGGTGGGCCATTTCCAGCACAAATCCAGGGTTTAACAAGAACGTCTAAGGGGTGGGGTGGGGTGGGGGGGGGGTTGGAAAAAACAAGGGGAAATAGATTACCTTGCATAATGACTTAGCCACTCCCAGTCTCTATTCAAGCCTAAGTTAATTGTATCCAATTTGCAAATGAATTCCAATTCAACAGTTTCTCACTGGAGTCTGGATTTGAAGTTTTTTTGTTGTAATATCGCAACTTTCATGTCTGTAATCGCGTGACCAGAGAGATTGAAGTGTTCTCCGACTGGTTTATGAATGTTATAATTCTTGACATCTGATTTGTGTCCATTTATTCTTTTACGTAGACACTGTCCAGTTTGACCAATGTACATGGCAGAGGGGCATTGCTGGCACATGATGGCATATATCACATTGGTGGATGTGCAGGTGAACGAGCCTCTGATAGTGTGGCTGATGTTATTAGGCCCTGTGATGGTGTCCCCTGAATAGATATGTGGGCACAGTTGGCAACGGGCTTTGTTGCAAGGATAGGTTCCTGGGTTAGTGGTTCTGTTGTGTGGTATGTGGTTGCTGGTGAATATTTGCTTCAGGTTGGGGGGCTGTCTGTAGGCAAGGACTGGCCTGTCTCCCAAGATTTGTGAGAGTGTTGGGTCATCCTTCAGGATAGGTTGTAGATCCTTAATAATGCGTTGGAGGGGTTTTAGTTGGGGGCTGAAGGTGACGGCTAGTGGCGTTCTGTTATTTTCTTTGTTGGGCCTGTCCTGGAGTAGGTGACTTCTGGGAACTCTTCTGGCTCTATCAATCTGTTTCTTCACTGCCACAGGTGGGTATTGTAGTTGTAAGAACGCTTGATAGAGATCTTATAGGTGTTTGTCTCTGTCTGAGGAGTTGGAGCAAATGCGCTTGTATCGCAGAGCTTGGCTGTAGACGACGGATCGTGTGGTGTGGTCAGGGTGAAAGCTGGAGGCATGTAGGTAGGAATAGCGGTCAGTAGGTTTCCGGTATAGGGTGGTGTTTATGTGGCCATTGTTTATTAGCACTATAGTGTCCAGGAAGTGGATCTCTTGTGTGGACTGGACCAGGCTGAGGTTGATGGTGGGATGGAAATTGTTGAAATCATGGTGGAATTCCTCAAGGGCTTCTTTTCCATGGGTCCAGATGATGAAGATGTCATCAATATAGCGCAAGTAGAGTAGGGGCATTAGGGGACGAGATTGATAGAGCAGACTGATAGATCAGAACAGATTGATAGAGCCAGAAGAGTTCCCAGAAGTCACCTACTACAGGACAGGCCTAACAAAGAAAATAACAGAACGCCACTAGCCGTCACCTTCAGCCCCCAACTAAAACCCCTCCAACGCATTATTAAGGATCTACAACCTATCCTGAAGGATGACCCAACACTCTCACAAAACTTGGGAGACAGGCCAGTCCTTGCCTACAGACAGCCCCCCAACCTGAAGCAAATACTCACCAGCAACCACATACCACACAACAGAACCACTAACCCAGGAACCTATCCTTGCAACAAAGCCCGTTGCCAACTGTGCCCACATATCTATTCAGGGGACACCATCACAGGGCCTAATAACATCAGCCACACTATCAGAGGCTCGTTCACCTGCACATCCACCAATGTGATATATGCCATCATGTGCCAGCAATGCTCCTCTGCTATGTACATTGGTCAAACTGGACAGTGTCTATGTAAAAGAATAAATGGACACAAATCAGATGTCAAGAATTATAACATTCATAAACCAGTCGGAGAACACTTCAATCTCTCTGGTCACGCGATTACAGATATGAAAGTTGCGATATTACAACAAAAAAACTTCAAATCCAGACTCCAGCGAGAAACTGTTGAATTGGAATTCATTTGCAAATTGGATACAATTAACTTAGGCTTGAATAGAGACTGGGAGTGGCTAAGTCATTACGCAAGGTAACCTATTTCCCCTTGTTTTTTCCAACCACCCCCACCCCCCCCTTAGACGTTCTTGTTAAACCCTGGATTTGTGCTGGAAATGGCCCACCTTGATTATCATACACATTGTAAGGAGAGTGATCACTTTAGATAAGCTATTACCAGCAGGAGAGTGGGGTGGGGGGAGGTATTTTTTCATGCTTTGTGTGTATAAAAAGATCTTCTACACTTTCCACAGTATGCATCCGATGAAGTGAGCTGTAGCTCACGAAAGCTTATGCTCAAATAAATTGGTTAGTCTCTAAGGTGCCACAAGTCCTCCTTTTCTTTTTGCGAATACAGACTAACACGGCTGTTACTTTGAAACCTGTCAACCTAACTATGTCAGTGTACACACTATAGCCTTGCTCCTGCTGATGTAAGTGCCGTACTACACTGACATCATAACTCCACCTCCAAGAGAGATGTAGGGCTTATGTCGGTGTAGTTAGGGCAACACAGGATTACTTACATCAGTAGTTGGCTGTCTTGTCAATTTCACGGCTCTCCAGCTGGGCAGCTGCCTGGTCTCCTTTCCAAGCTGGGCTGCCACTCAGGCTCTCAGCTTCAGCTGCCTCCCCAAACCCTCCTAGGGAGGTCTGCTGCCCCCCTGAGTCCCAACAGCCTGGCTGCCCTGCCCCAGGCTCTCAGTTCCTGTCCCATCCAGATGCAATTTACTGCGGTGGCTGTAAATTGACCTAACCTAGGTCAATTTAAGATTGTAGTGTAGACATGCCCTCATGAGCAACACAGTTATACCAAAGTTAAGTCTGTGGTGTAGACGAAACCTGAGTAAGTTTCCCAGCCCTGAAGAAAAGCTCTAGGTCGCTCAAGAGCTTGTCTCTTTCACCAGCAGAAGTTGGGCCAATCAGAGATATCACCTCACCCACCTTGTCTTGTGCATGCTGTACTTGTCGTACATGCAGTGGGGTGTGCAGGGGGTGTTCAGCAAACAGTGCACAACCCACCAGTTAATCTTTTTTAAAAATCTCATTTTGGGGCCAGTTTCATTGTTTTTAGGGGCTGGGTCTGCCTGATTGTTGGACTTTTTGAGGGAGACTCTGCTTTAGGTGGGGAGCAGGAACTGACATCTGAGGTGAACAGGGCCCTGAGGCTACCATCACCCCAGCCTGGCGGAGTGCTCTATGGCTGTCACTGCTGAACTCACTTCCTGTCTGCAGGGGTGGGAGAGTTTGAGACAGGAAGTTGGGGGCCTTGCAGGTATGGGCCAACTGAAAGTCTGCTGAGCCTGGCCCTTTGCAAGCCATGTGTCACCACAGCTCCTCACATCTCCCAGAATCCTCTGCTCTCCAGCTCCCAGAATCCTTCGTGCCT